CTCACCTGCCCAGGTGCGCCCGGCGCAGCCGCACGTCCCGTCCCGTCCCGTCCCGTCCCGCAGATCCCCCGGACCCCGCACGGGGACCCGGGCCGAGCGGAGCTCCCCGCATCCCCGCCCTTCTGCCGCGGTCCTTTTCCCGTCAAACGGAATATTTAGGGAACTTCCAAACGGGATTTTTTTCCGCCCCTGGTAAATGGAGTGTTTAGGAAAGGAAGTTTGCTTTTTGAGCGGGATATCTTTGCCTTTTAAATGGAATGTTTTGGGAAGAAAGCATTAAGTTCCTGGGCTTTTTCGCAGTTCAAAGCATACTCAGCTGAGTCATAGAATCACGGAATGATTAAGGCTGGAAAAGACCTCGAAGATCATCGGGTCCAAACATTAACCCAGCACTGCCGGGTCCGCCACCAAACCGTGTCCCTCGGCACCACATCCGCAGGGTTTGGAGCACTTCCAGGGACGCTGGCTCCCTGCTTCCCCGGGCAGCCTGTTCCCATGCTTGTCCATCCTTTCAGTGACGAAATTCTCCCAAATATCCAATCTAAACCTCCCCTAGCACAACCTAAGTACGTTTGCTCTTGTCCCACATCCATCCATCCATCCATATAAATCCATATCCAGGCAATGATAACACAGGATGAAGCCAAACCCCAAAGGCAGCTCTGATTAAAGCCACAGGCGCAGTTTTTTCTCTGAAAAGCATAAAAACGTCCCTCTTCCCTGGCTCCATCCCTGCTCTGGGGTCACACCTACCCCTGGCAAGGGGCTCAGCAGCTTCTCCTGGTCCCTCCGCAGGCTCCTGCCCTCCAGCCTCGCGTCTTATTTATTTTCCTCGTAGGTGGAGAAGCGTGACTCAGTGGTGAATCCTGGTTTCAAGGATCATACAATGCTTCACATTTCAGTTTCAATTAACCAGGAAAAAAATGGGAATTTCCCTTCTTCTCACCACGAACACGGTGGAAAATGCTGAACCCTGACTTTGGGCAGGCTGATTACATCCTCAGCTCAGTCCCGAGCCAAGAGATTGGAACTGGACAAAATCATGGAGATATTCACACAGAGACAAAACAATTCACCGTTTTTCTGGGCAAGCTTGCCTTGCTGGATACCAAGTGCAAGGTAAATATTTCAGCCTTCGTTCAGCACAGAATTCCACTCAGAGGAAACACGCAGGAGTTTGTCAGCACATCAGAAACTCTTTCTGGCAATAAGCAGAATAGCAGATGTGGCACTCCGGGGTCTGCGCTCTCTGTGCTGGGTGAGATGGGTTTCCTTAGTGGTACCTGACCCTTCCTGATGTGTAAATCCAGGGACAGCTGCTCCTGGGGTAAAACACCCCTGGCATTCCTGCTGTATGAAGAATGCAGTGGTAGGAAGTTCTGGGAGCAGCCAGGAAGAGACACAGGCAGATATTGGGCTGAACTCCAGGCCAGGCTCTGAAGGATCTTTGATCTCTCCTCAGACAGGCCAGCACAAAAGCTCCCTGCATTCCTGCTGTCCACACCCCTGTCCCACAGGGAAAGGTCAGGATGCTCTGGGCTGGCTGTGGTTGTGGTGGGCTGCTGGGAGCTGTGCAGGGGGACAGCAGTGCTGGGAGCTGTGCAGGGGACAGCAGTGCTGGGGAGCTGTGCAGGGAGACAGCACTGCTGAGAGCTGTGCAGGGGAACAGCAGCACTGTGCAGGGGGACAGCAGTGCTGGGAGCTGTGCAGGGGACAGCAGCAGTGCTGGGGAGCTGTGCAGGGGACAGCAGCAGTGCTGGGGAGCTGTGCAGGGGAACAGCAGCACTGTGCAGGGGACAGCAGCAGTGCTGGGGAGCTGTGCAGGGGACAGCAGTGCTGGGAGCTGTGCAGGGGACAGCACTGCTGGGAGCTGTGCATGGGACAGCAGTGCTGGGAGCTGTGCAGGGGGACAGCAGCAGTGCTGGGAGCTGTGCAGGGGACAGCAGTGCTGCTGCTGCTTACCCTCCTGCTGCCCTGGCTGCCTGGGCAGGCTGGCAGTGCCAGGCCAGGGCTGGCAGTGCCTGGGCAGGGTTTTGCCCTTCCTGGCACCACTGGAAGGACACTCGAGATGCCCGAGCCACAGGAGGGGTCCTGGGGCAGGTCAGGGCTGGGGGATTTAAAAATGGAGCAAAGTGACAGAGCAGCTGGGTGAGGACTGCTGAGCCTGGCAGCCCCAGCCTGGGAGAGGGGCCCAGTCCTGCCTGCAGGGTCCCTGCAGCTGTGCCTGCCAGCACCCTGCTGCCTCTGCCACAGCCTCTGCTGCCTTCCCAGCACCGACACAGATGCCAAACAAGTGACTCTGCCCAGCCCTCTGCAGGGTTTGGTGGTTTTTTTCCCTCCTGAGTTTCTACCAGCGCGTGCTGAGGCGTGTGGCAGCACGCTGGGGTAGGCAGCTGACGGGAAAGGAGCCCTACATCTTTTTCCATGCTCTTGGCTGGGAAACTCCACAGCTCTGGAGGTGCAGAGGTGATAATGCAGGGACAGCTCATGAGGCAGGATGTGCAGCCAGGTGTTACCTGTCTGTACCTGGTCATCCAAAGCGTTCACTGTGACACACCGAGTGTTGATCCTGCTCCTTCAGGCACACAAGCAGCCCCAGCCTCTGCACTGTGGTGTGTTCTAGAAATTATTGTTTTTATTTTTACTTCTCTCTGCCTATATTTACCTCTATCTGCATTTTTTTTAATCAAATGAAGAGATCTTTTGGCTGATAAGCTGTACCTTTGAAGTGACATCCTGCTGGCTGAGAGGCAGCAGCTCTTCCAGTGCAGTCTGCAGAGCACACAGAGGAATTTTCATCCCAGGAGCTATGGGATTTACTTTATTTCAGTGCCAAATTAATATCACTATTTTATCAACACGATTGTGTGTCATGATACCTGCAACAGCAGCAGCTGGGCTTTGTACTCCAGGTCTCTCGCAGCCCTTTGTTCCCAGCTGGAGAAGATTGCAGTCATCAAAACAAAAAGGAACCATTTTCTCTCCTGGGAACAGATCACCAGGTTCCCATAAGGCAAAACAAAATTATGCAATGAGTCAAGACAATGTCCTGGGCAAGTGGAGTCTTGCAGTGTGCTCTCAGCACTCACATTCCAGCAGGCAGCTCCGTGCAGGAGAGCAGCACAAAATGGTGGAGAGGCTTCACCCCAGCACATCCCAACCCCAGCACGTCCCAAACATCCCAAACCCCCAGCTGGGCTCAGGGAAAGCAGAGAATCCTTCCCACCCTGTCCTAGCAGCCCCTCTGTGGCATGGGGCTCTTTGTGACCCAGGGAGAACTCCTGGCCTCACCAGCCAAGATAAATCCCAAAATTATATAAAATCATTTATAAACCTGGCTGTGGCTACCAAAGACTTCTTCCCAGTAGCTCTAGTGAAGAGGAGAACGGGGGGATGGATTTATTGTTATTTTTCTGGTGGGCAGCCCCACAGCTGCTGTGCTGTGGATGAGTCAGGGGCTGAAGCACTCCCAAAAGGAAGGGCTGAGTTCATTATTGTCTTGCATTCTTCTAGGCACAAGGATAGACAAGAATATCATTAGAAAAAATGCTTTAGCTGAAATGGAACAGTCTTAAATTTTCTGGCAACTTCTCTGGCTCTTCCCATCCATCTCCAGGCTTCTGCTGTGTTGTCTCTGTCCACTCTTTGCTCTTCTTTTAAGTGAAACTAAACCTTGCCTGGGTATCCTCACATGTCAAAGGGTAAAGTTGTGTTATACTCCTGCAAATCTCTGTGTGTAAATATAAGTATAAATATAAATATAAATATAAGTATAAATATACACACAGTACCAGTGCTGGGTCACGTGCAGGTGTGAGTGGATTCAGAGCAAACCCCACCCTGACAGTGCAGCATGAATTGCTCTACTGCTCTGCAACATCAAATTCAAATTTCAGCCTGGTTCTTAACCAGTATTCTTCCATGACAGAGGCTCTTCTTTACCAAACCAACACCAAAAAAAGTTCCAAAAAAGGTGCAGCTTAAATACCTCTGCGCCTTGGCATTTAGGATGAGAGAATCCATGGTTTCCTATTAATGCTGCTCCAATCCTCTTAATGAAGATATTGGGCTGGCTTGGGCACATTTATAGCTCAGGTCGTTCTTTCCTCTGACACAGATAATGTTGGGTTCAGAACCATGGGGCTGGTGAGCAGAGGAGCTGGAGGCTGCTGAGGAAGAGGAAGGGCTCTGTGTGTGCTGGGAGGAAGGCTTGGTGGTGCTGAACAGGAGGAGCCAGCCCAGGGAAGGGCTGCACCTTGTGTCTGTCCCCAAAGCCATAAACGAGCTTCAGGGGAAAGGGGAGAGCAGGGGAATTTCCAGGGACACAAAGAGGGGAAGGGGAAAAGGAGAATATGCTCTAAAAATCTGGAAAGAAACAACTCCTGCTCTTTTTAGCTCAAAGCTTTAAGATGGAAATAAGCAACTCCAAAAATCTGGAAAGAAACAACTCCTGCTCTTTTTAGCTCAAAGCTTTAAGATGGAGATGTGACAGTAAGAGGAATGTGTGTGTATCTAGGTGCCTTCACTAATTGTCTCACAGCCTACAGCAGGCATTCAATTAATTTAATCCATCAGCAGGTTTTGCTGTGGAAGTGTTTGTTTTCTCAGGATTCCCCCTCTGCAGTTGTTGTTTTCCCTGTGCCCCATCTCACTGAAGCACTGAGCAGCCCCCACAGGCAGGTAACACAAGCCAGCATTGCAAAGATCAATGTTCCTTCCCTCATCATCCCTTTTTTCCCCCTAGAAAACCCTACAGGACAGAGAATGGGGCTTTGTGTTGCGTGTACAGGGAACCTCTGCTCCCAAATTCTTTGACAGGGAGGTATTAATGTGCAGAAAGACCCCGAGCCCCTGGAGTTTGCTTCTAAATAGGGCACAGCTCAGAACATCTGAAGGTCTCTGGGGCTCATGGGTGGGAATCTCCTAATGATCTTTAGTTATTTTTATCCGTGCCCAGTGCTCAGCGTTCCAGGGCACAGGAGCCACTCTGAGATCTCCTGGGGAGTGCACGGAGCTGCCAGCAGCTGGGCAGGGCAGGAGGAGCAGAAAAGAAAGCACAAAAAAGGGAAGGCGGCATAGCAAGAACATCAGAGAAAGGCACGGCACAGCGAGAAGACAAAGAACAAAGGGCTTGGGCAGGGTTTTTCTTCTTTTCCTTCTGTTTTCAATCCTGCTTTCCGGAGGGAAATGGGACAGCAGTTCACCAATGCTGAAGGGGAGCAAGGAGAGATTGATGTTGCAGAGCTGCAGGAATGGTATAAGAAATTCGTGGTGGAATGTCCCAGTGGGACCCTCTTCATGCACGAGTTCAAGCGGTTCTTCGGGGTCCAGGACAACCAGGAGGCAGCAGAGTACGTGGAGAACATGTTCAGGGCTTTTGACAAGAATGGGGTGAGTGCTGAGAAGGTTTTACAGTTATTTATTTATATATATTCTATATATTATATACATTATTTATTTTTATAATATATATTATATATATATAATATATATATAATATATTATCTATTTTATATATTTTATACATTTTTATATTATATTATATTTTATATATAACGAGGGACCAGTGAAGGCAGGAGAAGGAGCACAGTCTGGCCTGGATTTATCTCCTCAAATCTCCACCTAAATTAAGGTCAGAATGTCCCCTTAAGGGACTAAGGGTGGATTAAAAAGTCAAAACTTGGGCAGTCACACTTTGAGGCCCTCAAACAGCCAAGGCTCCCACATGGCAAAAATATTTCTCTGTTGAGGTAGAGGGGGAATTACAGTGCAGGAAAATCCTTCTCAGGCTTCTTCTGGTTGGAGAAGTGTCTGTACCAGGTGGTCTGTAATAAAATATCGATTTTGGCTTTGCCTTCCGAAAGCAGAGGAATGCTGAACAATTCACAGACATTGTGCCTTGGGTTCCCTTTGCCATATTTGCCGTGGGACACCTGGGGAAGGTGGGGTTTGTGGTTTAGGCTGGGTTCCTGCACCCTGCACTGCTGCACGGGCAGCCTGGCATGCTCTGGGCTCCCGGCTGCCCTGGCTCAGCAGCACCTGCCCAAAGCTTTAACTATTCTTTCCTGATCGTATTCCAGCTGTGGGGATGTTTGTTCCTCGTGTGACTACAGGAAAAGGGGGCTCAGGCTGTTCATCTCTGATCAACTCATCTCCCTCAAGCTCCCCTTGAAAACAGGGTCAGAATCTCACGGAAGGGGCAGCAAAAGTCAGTTTGTGGGAAAGGATTTTAAAAGGCCGTGGAAGATGTTGGCAGGTCAGGCTTGTCTCAGAATTCCAAGTTGTAAAAAAACAAATTCCTGCAAAAAATGAAAGGTTCAGGTCCCAAATTCCATCATGAAAGCTATGGGGAAAAGGCAGCAGAGCAAACTGTGCATAAAAGATGAAGTCCCATTCCTAATTTACAGGAGCTTCCCTCACAGGAGAGGGACTCTGTTTTTAGGGCTGCTGGTGCAGGATGGGGACGAGGAGCCCAGCCTGGCTGCTCAGGGTGAGGCTGTGCCTGCTGCAGCTCCTGAGCTGCTACAAACCTTCCTCGGGGTGCCAGCAAACACCTGCCCCGTGCCCTGTCCCTCTGGCAGTTTAACCCAGCTTTTCTGGAAGCTGTAAAGCACTTTTCCATCGCCTTCCTGCCCAGCCAAGTGTCACCCAGCTGCTTTTCTACCCACCACCTTCCTGCCCAGCCAACTCTCTCCCCAGCTGCTGTTTGTGTGCTGCCACAGGACAACACCATTGATTTCCTGGAGTATGTGGCTGCCTTGAATCTGGTTTTGCGGGGGAAGCTGGAGCACAAGCTGAGGTGGACGTTCAAAGTGTATGACAAGGATGGCAACGGCTGCATAGACAAACCTGAGCTGCTGGAAATCGTTGAGGTAAGCGGGCATTGCCCAATCCCTTCTTTCAGCAATCCCTGCTCTTTGGCAACGTCCTGGGGTGGATGGGGTTTGTGTAATCAGGTTTTGAGGATGCTGTGGGGCCGAGCAGGCAGCCAGGCACGAGTCCCTGTGCTCCTGCCTGAGGTGAGGCTCTGCTTATCCCCCACCTGAGCATCCCAGAGCAGAGCAGTGCCAGGCTGTGCCCTCCCTGCGGGCAGCAGGGTCCTGGCCAGGAAGGTGAGCAGATGGTCACCTGCAGCAGCAGCAGGTGTGAAAGCAGGGCAGCCTGTCTGGGCCACCTCCCATCACAGTTTTGAGGTCAGCCAGGAGCTGCCCAGAACCGTGAGGCCGCTGCTAATCCTCTCTCTGGGAAGACTTGAGACAAAAGCCTTCAACCTGAGCAGGAAAGGGAACCAGGGGCAGGTGGAGCCACGGGAGGAGCAGGTAAAGTCTGACCCTCTCCCGTGGCAAAGGGGAGCAGAAAGTGTGGGTCAAAATATGAGCTGAGGCAGGCTTGATCTGCAGCCTGGACACAGCTGCCAGGGCCAGGGCTGGTCACTCCAGCCTGCCTGGCTTGGAGGTCAGCACAAACTCACACTCGAGGCCTGTGATTCTTCCCATGAGTGAAACTCTGCTCTGCTCTCTGCAAAGCTGCCCTGAGGTCTGCCCAGAGCGTGCAAGGAGAGCAGGAGGGCAGCAGCTTCACAGAGCAGAGGAGGTCACTAACGTGCAGCCAGGGCAGGCACGAGGCTCACTGCAGACCCGAGGCTGCTGAGGGGCAGATCTTCCCAGAAGGGTTAAAGCCCCAGCCTTTGAAAGAGACCTTCACAGCCATGGGGTGCCAGCTGAGTTCAGTGCTTTTCATCTCCCAGTCCTTCTCCTCATTTGGGAGCTCCTTTCAGTCTATCTACAGGCTGAAGAAGGTGTGCTGGTCGGAGGTGGAGGACAGGACCCCACTGCTGACACCGGAGGAGGTGGTGGACAGGATATTTCAGCTGGTGGATGAGAACGGGGATGGTGAGTGAAGCACAGGCTGCATTCCTGCCTGCTGAGAGCTCACCTGAGCCGGGCTGCCTGGCCACAGATCCCTTGGCTGCGTTGTGTTCCTCACAATGGACAGCTGGGCTTGGTTCTGCTCTGTCCCACTGAGACAAAAGTGCTTGGTGGAGCAGGGTGAAATCTTTATCATTGTTATTTTAATTAAAACACGGAGGAGTCGCTGCTGGGGCAGTTTGGGTGCCTCTCAGATCCCATCCTCTGACAGCCCCAGCAGGCAGAGGGCAAGTCCCAGTCCCAGCACAAGGGTGAAGACACTGCTTCCAGTCAGACTGGGACCTGCAGGACCTGGCCGGGTCCTGGCAGGGCTGGGTGAGCCCCTGCAGCGTCCGGAGTGTCCCGTGGGGATGGGGCAACGCTGCCTCACAGCCCCAGGCTTGTCTTTCAGCTGCCCACAGGGCTGGGGGATCCCCTGAGATGGTGTGTGGTTAGCGTTTGATCTGACACTTGGGGGATCCTGCCTCCTCCTCCTCCTCCTCTCTGACCTGCCGTGCCCTGCTCTCGCCACAGGGCAGCTGTCCCTCGATGAGTTCATCGATGGAGCCAGGAAGGACAAGTGGGTGATGAAGATGTTGCAAATGGATGTGAACCCCGGGGGATGGATCATTGAGCAGAGGAGAAAGAGTGCTTTGTTCTGAGAGAACGGCTCTGAGGTGATGCTGAGTCCCGAGTGTGACCCTTCCTCTAGCCTGGTAACGACTTTCCTTTTTCATTCCACCTCAGCATCCCGATGAAAACCTGAGTGGTTGAAGGAGCCGCCTCTGATGTAAACCCCACGTGCTGAGCACCGCTGGTACCCAGGGGCTGTTTCTGGCCCATGAATAACTCTTGCTGTGCACACAGTTCTGTGTTTGCCAGCTCTGCTTTTTGGTTACACCCCAAGGAACAAACTTCTGGTGGCTTCCTGCAGCAGATCTGAGCAGGGTTTGGGCTGGGCAGTGAGGGATGGAGCCGGGGGTTCTGTCTCAGTGCAGACTGGTGCTGGCACGGCTCACTCCTGCCCTTACAGCACCTCAGAGCAGCACAGGATGGCTGCTGGATGCTCAGGGGGTCTCTGGGTGTGTTTTGTAGCCTTTCCTGCTGCTGGTGTCCAACATAAAACCACCAGAAATGAGAATTGGATGGGAGCAGTGGCCAGGACAGCACACAGAGCTGAGGGAAACATCCTCAGGGCTGGGCAGGAGCAGCAGCAGCTCCTTCCTCCCCCTCTGGGGACCAGAGGCTGCTCCTCCTGCCTGCCCGAGGCCCGGGGGCTGGGAGATGCTGGCTGCAAACGCTGGCATTGCCCAGCCCCGCTCAGAGCACAGATGTGACCTTCACAGCCCCTGGTTCTCAGGAATCTTCCCTCTGGAACAGCTTTTCCTGTCCTGGGAAGAGTGGGTGAGCCCAGGAGCTCCAGGGTTTTCACTGCCCTGGGGAAAGCTTGGTGTGGGAGCAGGGAAGAGCAGAGTTGTGCTTGGCAGTGTCTCTGCAGTGGGAGGATTTGTGCTGCTCCACTGGCAGGACCAGAACCAGAACCATGGATGGTTTGGGTTGGGAGGAACCTTAAAAATTCTCAGTTTCCAAGCCCCCTGCCCTGGGCAGGGATGCCACATCAGATTGCTCCGAGCCCTGTCCAAACTGGCCTTGAAAAGTGGAAAAAGTGACAAAAATTCCAGTACAGTGGTTTTACACTGGACTTAATTTAGCCCCAGACTACAGATACAGAATTTACACAAGTTGCAGGCTGGGCTCTGCTGTTCTAACCCGTGTTTCTACATAGATGTATGTGGGAAAAGAGTTTGGGCTGAATCAATATTTTGGTTCACCTTTACTGGATTTACTGCTTCATTCCAAAGAAGAAAACCCCCCAGGAAAATAACATGAGCTTGTCTGTTCCATTTTAACTTTCCTGTGGGATCAGTGGGCCAGGTCATACCAATGAAAAGATTTACAACCCCTTTTTTTGTGGCCTTTAATTAGGACTGCAGTAGCTGTCATTAGCTGATTAGTGTGCTGGTTTGTGGTCTTGTCAGTTTTCCCAGTGTTTAAACTCCATGGGGAAGTGCTCAGGATTAGACACAATCAGTGCTGGAGTTCAGATGGTGCACATTTCCACTTGGAAATAGCCTTTCTATGAGTTCTCTGCAAACACTGAGCAGTTTGTGGCGTGCTGACTTACCAGAGCTGATTAGGCTTGTGCCTTCTGCTGCTCTGAGGCAGCTGGGCAAAGCTCTCTCTGCTCAATAGTTTATCAGCTCCAGATCTGAAAGAAAAATCTGACTTCTGACTTGAGAGCCTGGATGAAAACATTCACATGTATTGATTTTCCAGCTTGTGAAAAGATGTTTTCACTGGAGGGTACAAATCTCTAAGAATTCATTTCAGCATCTCAACCGAGGTAACACCCCCTGCTGCTTGCACGGATTTAGAGAGGCTGTTTAGTTCGTAGAATTGCATTTTGCTGCTTCACTGAAATGCTTGAAACGCTCCAATTCTGCCCACCAGGTCAGCCCAGGCTCGCAGGGGCTCTTTGGTCCAGCAGCCCTGCCCTGGTGAGCACTTGTACAGATGTTGGTAGGAGTTTTGTAAAACACCACTTGAATAAAGAACTATTTATTAAAACCTTTGTTTCCTAGTATCTGTTTGTTAATTAGGTGAAGAGCTGTGTGAGACCTGGCTGAAACTGTAGCCTGTGAGTGTGATCTGTTGAATTTAGGGGAGGAGCTGGTGGAGCAGCCGGGTAAGACAGAGATAAGGAGAGATGACGATGCTGTTGCAGAGTAGGGAAGGAGCCTCTTGTGTTTAACTTCCGTGTGATGACAGCAAAAAAATAATAATAATAATAAAAAAGTTTCTCAAGAGAACTGGAAGCAGGAGTTTAAAATGAAGGGAGTGAGTGCTGCACAGTGAAAGCCGGGCAGGACTGGAGCTGCAGGGCTCCAGACCAGGGCTGGGATGGACGTGCAGGGGCTGTGTCTGTGTCACAGCTGGCAGAAGCCATGGAAAACTGTTCCTCTTATCAATTGTGTAATCTTTGGTCGAGAAATGGCAAGGTGCTTTGGCCCCAGCGCTATTTTAAAGCCCTGATCTCTGGCACTCACAGCAGGCTCTTGATGTCAGTTCTTGCACAATCCCTCTGCCAGACTTAGGGCCCAGCTCCAATTGGATTGGACTGATCGGATTTCTTTCTGCTCTAAACTGGGAAGCAGGATGGCTCGCAAAAGGCAAATGCCACCTGACTTTTCTGGGCTGCCATCTGCTCCGTGCCCTGCAGTCGGGCAGGACCGAAGGTGAATAACCAGGCTGGAAAGCTGGGGCTGTGGTGGGAGGGAAGGGGCAACAGGAGCCCTCTTTAGGAGGCATCACCTCCTAAAATACTCCGGGAGAGGCATCCCAGGGGAAAGGCTGAGCAGCAGGGATGGGAGGAGAGAGGATCCCTCTCTGTGCTCAGCCCTGCCCCGAGCGCAGCCGAGCTTTGGGCAGGGGCTGCCCGGCTCTGTGCCCCGGTCACTCCCGAAGCACCTGTGGGCAGGTTCCCTTCGAAAATGTCCTGGGCAAAGCCAGAGTGACCTCCTGAGCCCCGCGCCGGTCACTGCAGGCACTGCCTGTGCTCTCAGTGCTTTTCTTACAGCGCCTGTGCTCAGCTGTGCCACGCCAAAATTCCTTTCCTTTCTTTTCCCTCCCTTTCCTTTCTTTCCTCCCTTTCCTTTCTTTCCTCCCTTTCCTTTCTTTCCTCCCTTTCCTTCTTTCCCTCTCTTTCCTTCTTTCCCTCCCTTTCCTTCTTTCCCGGGGCTGGTTTGTTTATTTTCCTTCCTTTCTTCCCTTCCTGCTTTCTCGCCTGCCATTCCTTTCTTTTTTTTTTTCCTTTTCTTTCTTTCCTTGCTGTCCTTCCTTTTCCTTTCCTTCCTTGTATTTCTTTATTTTCTCCAAGTTAAGCTCACCTCAGAAGCCTAGAAAGTGTCTCAAGCGCATCACCCTTAAAGCCCCTGCACTCGAGGATGATCTGGGGTCCGAGCAGCGCCGGAGCAGCCGAAATGGGAAAGGGGCCGGGAGGGTCTGGCTGAGAACGGCTGCGGTGGCCTGTCCTCGCCCCTCGCCCCTCGCACCGGCCACACGGGGCTGGGCTTGGGGTCCCGGGGCTGTTTTGGGGGTTCTCTCGGGTTTGGGGTCCCGGGGCTGTTTTGGGGTCCCGGGGCCAGTTTGGGGGCTCTCTCGGGTTTGGGGTCCCGGGGCCGGTTTGGGGTGCCGGGGCCGGTTTGGGGGCTCTCTCGGGTTTGGGGTGCCGGGGCCGGTCCCGGATTCTGTCGAGTTTGGGATACTGGGGCTGTTTTGCGGAATTCGCTGGGCTTGGGGTCCTGGGGCTGTTTTGGGGGTTCTGTCGAGTTTGGGGTCCCGGGGCTGGTCTGGGGGATTCACTGGGGTTGGGGTCCTGGGGCTCGTTTTGGGGGTTGGCTCTGGTTTGGGGTCCCGAGGCCGTTTTGGGGGTTCTCTCGGGTTTGGGGTCCCGGGGCTGGTTTGGGGTGCCGGGGCCGGTCCCGGCGCGTTCCCGCTGCTCCCGGCGGCGCCGGCAGAGAGCGCTGCGGGATGGGGACACGGCGGGAGCGGGGGGTCCCAAAAACCGGGATGGGAACGGGCTGGGATAATGGGATGGGACGGGATGGGGACAGGAATAGGACAGGGATGGGATCCATGAGATGGGGACAGGGCTGGCACAGGGACAGCCCTTTTAGAACAACTTTGGCTGTGCATGCAGAGATCTGGCTGCTCCAAGCTGCTTCCTGCTGCCCCCCGGTGCAGGGGGAGGCTCGGGGAAGCTCGGGCGGGGCTGACGGAGTCTGTGCCCAGGGAGGTGCTCAGAAAGCCCACGCTGAGCTGAGCCCAGCTCCCTCCCCGCTGCTGCAGGGCCAAAGGGCTCCGAGCTTTGTGCTGTCATCTCTGGGGGAGCTGGTTTTGCTGCAAGAGGCAGAGTTACACTGCGAGTGAACAGCTCAGCCCCCTCTCACCAGGGCTTGCAGCTGCTCCCCTCCCTCTTGCAGGGCTGTGGGTGCACAAGGTGGCCACCAAGGGCTCCTGTGCTGTGCTTTGGGAGCCCGAGAAGAGCCCCAGAGCAGCTGTTCCTGCACTGTGTGAGCCACTACATCTGTCCTGCTGCAAACACAGGGATTGACTGCAAGAGACAAGATGCACAGCCTGAAATGATACTGTAAAACATCTTTATTAGCTCATCGTAGGACTGGAAGGACAAAAGCTTCCAGGTAGAACTCTGTCCAATGAAAAAGACTCACAGGAAAAATGGTCGGGAAGCTGTTTATGAACTGCAAACACCCAGTGCTAAATAACAAAACTCCCAGCTGGGCAAGAAGCCCTTCCTGGTGTCCTGTGCTGCCTCACCACGCCTGGGAGTGCTCCCGGGGGTGAGGAGCTCCTGCAGGAGCAGCTGGGGCACAGCTGGGGCACAGCTGGGGCTGTTGGGGGCTCGGGGGGCTGCACAGGGGCTGCCCAGGGCTGGCCTCGGGCACTGCCCTGAGCTGGTCTCACCCTCTGGAGCAGCTCCCCCTCCAGCACCCACACACACAAGGGGTCAAAGCCTCCTGGTGCTCCTGGCCAGGTGGGGACACAGCAGGAACGGTCCTGCAGCTCCTCTCGGGTTACTGCATTGCTGATTGTGCTCATCTGGAAGCACTTCCTTCCTTCCTGATGCTTCAGGGAGAAACATTTCCTTACAGTCCAGGAGGTTGTTAGGAAAAGGCACCATTCAGTGTTTTGAATGCTTTTAAACAAAGCCACTGCAAACACCCCTCCTCTTTTGCCAGCTCATAAATGTTTTAACTCACGTTATCACTACCACTGCTGACCAAATGATAACCAGTGAAGGAAGGAGTGACCAGAACTGGTGACAGCTTGCTCTGGAAATACAAATGGAAGGAGAAGGTTCAGATCTGCTTTTCCAGGACCCCTCTCACCGGGGCCCAGTCCTGGGCAGCCCCTGTTGGACCCCGCTGGGGGGGTGTTGGCCACGGCCTCGGTGGCAGTTTTGGGGTGTTCTCAGGGAGTTCTTGGCCTGCACAGCCTCGTGCTGCTCCCCTGCCCAGGAAGCTCTGGCTGTCCCCTCTCTGAGCTCGGCAGCAGCAGCGTCCAGAGGCCCCGAGGCCACGCCAGGTCCGTGTGGGACAGCCCAGCTCTGCACCCTCCCTGCCGAGGCCTGTCCTCCCGCTGCCCGCGGTGTCACAGCGCTGTCCCTGCGCCGAGGGGACAGTTCTGCCAGCGGGGAGTGCAGCCCCGCGGCTGATCCCGGCTGGCAGTGCCAGGGGAGGCCAAGGGAAAGCGTCCCGGGAGCTACTGGGCAGCCTGGGCGTCCTGCCCGGCCTCGTGAGGGTTCTTGCCGTCGTTCTGGATCAGCCTGACGATGTGGGTCAGGTCCAGGCTGCGGGTGAGGATGTCCAGCAGCATCTCGTCCTTCTGCACGCCCTCCATGAACTCCTCCAGGGACAGCTCGCCTGCAGGGCACCAAGCTCTGTTAAACCCCACAGCCTGCTGCTCCCCGCTCCCCCAGCACCGGCACAGACCCCGAAATGGGGGCTCAGCACCCGGCGTTGTGCCCCGAAGCCCACCGCAGAGCCCCCCTGGCGGGGCTGAGGGCAGCGTCCCCCGGGCAGCCCGGAGGGGACGGGGTCCCTCTGCCAGCTCTGCCGTCCTGCTGCTCAGGGACACTGCTCTGGGGGCAGGCAGGGAGGGCAGGGCAGTGGCACTGCCCGGGGAAGGCCTCACCGTCTCCATTGATGTCGATTTTGTTGAACACCATGTCCGTGAACTCCTCCGCCGTCATCTTCTCGTTGCAGCGGTTGATGGAGCGGATGGCCTGGGGGCAGCGAGGGGCACAGGGGTCACCGAGGGCTCTGCACGTGGCTGTGCCCGTCGGAACAGGCGGCCAAATGAGCAGACACGAAAGGCCAAACGCTTTTTCAGGGCTAAAACTTGTTTTCAGGCAGTTAGGCTTCGCAAGGAATAAGTCCTGTCTAAAGGCTGGAGATTAAAATCACCTAAAGGGCCATCAATGCTTTACAAGATTTAGTGGGCACGCTGGGATAAGCCAGAAGCCATTCACCTCTGAAAACCCTTAGATTAAATTCAAGTGCTTATCTCAGCCCCGGTTTCAGTGCAAGCTGCCAGGGGAGGACGAGGGGTGCTGGGTGCCCGAGGGGGTGGGAGCAGAGCTGGGGGTGCTGGCAGAGCTCAGCAGCAGCTCTGGGCAGGGGCTGCTAGCTGACCATGGAGTTCACGGGCTGCAAGTTCCCCTTCCAGCCTCCCTGCAGCTGCAGGAAGGGAGGGCTGGCCCCACTCACTTTGATGATGTTCAGCAGCTCAGCCCGGTCGATGCAGCCGTTGCCATCCACATCGTAGAGCTTGAAATACCACCTGAGCTTCTGGTCCACCTTCCCCTTCAGCACCAGGCTCAGCGCTGCCACGTATTCCATGAAGTCTATGTAGCCATCCTAAGAGCACAAGGTTGGAAGCTCAGGTGAGATTAAAAGCAGAGTCAGGCAATGAAGGATTATTTTAGTAGTTTCTGAAGTTCCCCCTGAACTGGTCCCTCCACCCCAAGACCAGGGGCTCGTGGAGTGGTGGAAGCCAAGGTTCCTCCTGAATCTGGGCAGAAATGCTGTAGAATGATGGAATTATAAAATCATAAAGGCTGGGAAAGGCCTCCAAGGTCAGCAAGTCCAGCCTTGGACCGTTAGAGGTTGGGAAGGCAGGGCCTGGCTGGGTGGATCTCCTGGGGACTGGGAGCTGGCCTATGCCCAGGCAATTAACACACCAGGCGTTAATTACCAGCCCAAAGCAGCGGGAATTCAGAGGTCAGAGAGGTTTGTGCAGATGAACCCTGATAAATTCCCCAGCCTCATCCAGCCACAGCTCCTTTCTGCTGCCAGGGTCTCATTTCCAGGAGAGGAGCGCGTTCATGCCGCTGACATCTCGGGCTGGGCAGGTGTTTCTCTGTCCCTGGGCCATTTCTGTACCCACGTTTGGAGCACAAACACTTTTATCTCTGACTTTCCTGCCGGTGTTTGCCCGCCCCAGCTCGTGCCACGGTTTGAGGTGTCCACCCAGGATGGTGGCACCACTGCCAGGCTGCTGGCCCGGGCTCACAGCCACCAGACACTGCCTGTGACACTCAGAGCTTCCAGGAGGGTGTTAAAAATGCCTCCTGCCCAGCACGGAGCGTTCCCGTGGCGTTTGAAGGGATGCCCTTGCTGTGGTTTGTGGCACTTCCCTGGAAGTGGCACTGGGGACACGGCTCGTGGTGAGCCCACCAGAGCTGGGGGGGCAGCTGGGTTCAGGGATCTTGGGGGGCCTTTCCAAGCCCAAGAATTCCAAAAACTTCCCAAAACATTCCCAAAATTTTTATCTATCTAACAGTTTCATCCTGAACCTAAACATACCCAAAAATCCCCAAAAAAAAATCACTAGAAAATTCAAAACAAACGCTAAAAATCATCCAAAAATCCCCCAAAATTCCCCAACATTAAAAAAAAAACTCCCAAAAAATTCCAGAAATCTTTCCTATCCCACAGTTTCATCCAGACTGAAAACCTGCCCAAAAAATCCCAATAAATTCGATTCCATGCTTCCCACCCCAGACCTCAGCAGAGCCTAAGCCAGGGCTCTGTCAATGAACAAAGGCACTGCCAGAGCTCATCTGCTTTACCCACTGCTGCAGGAGCCAGATAAGGGACAAATAACTGCTAAGCCCCGCTGCCAGCAGGATTTCCTGCACATCAATTCCCTTTCCAGGCAAGCTTTCAAACACAGCAGCGAGCAAGGGAAAGGCCAAGGCATAAACCAAACACCTGAAGGATTTAGGGCCTGATTTGCATTTTTGTCAATGGGATTAATGCCACTAAGCCCTTTGGGTTGCCATAAAATGGATTCCTCATCTCACAGGAGGTGCAATTTCAGGTCATTTGCAAGCAGAGGAGGATGCAGTTTCCTGTTGGAACACAGCATCCATCTGCTTCCCAAAAACCTGCTCTGGGACTGCACTCCCAAAAATCTGCTCTGGGACTGCATTCCTAAAAATCTTCTCTGGGACTGCATTCCCGAATCCCTGCTCTGGACTGCATTCCCAAATCCCCCTCCGGAGTGCATTTCCGAATCCCCCTCTGGACTGCATTCCCGAATCCCCCTCCGGACTGCATTCCCAAATCCCCCTCCGGACTGCATTCCCGAATCCCCCTCCGGAGTGCATTCCCGAATCCCTCTCCGGACTGCATTCCCGGATCCCCAGGCTGCCCGGGCAGCCCCAGCCCCGTGTCCCACGGAAGGAAGCCGTGCCGGAGCGATCCCTGCGCAGTTTCACGCCCCAGCAGCCCCAGCCCGTGCTGGGGACTCCTGTCCCCGCACGATCGCAGCCCTTGTCCCCACGGCCACTGTCACGGCAGCCGGTGCTTCAGGACTGAAGGGCACTTCGTTTTGAAGGGATCAGAGAGTGCCAGGTAAAGCCCCCCTGTTCCAGAAGGAAAACATCAGTCCTGGGAGAAGCCGCTGCGTCCCTGCAGGGCAGGCAGAGGCTGAGGAGCTCTGGCTGGCATTTTTCACCTTCCAGAACGGATCCTGCAGTGTCTGGGGCTGCAGTGGACGAGGCTGCACCTTCGCAGGGCAGTTCCTGCCTCCCACCCAGCCCAGCAGAGCAGAGCCCAGCCCTGCACGGCCCAGGGGGAAGGACAATATTTACCTTATTAAAGTCAAACGTCTCAAACATTTGCTCAACGTATTTGTTCGCCGCCGGACTCAGGTTCTTCAAGCCAAAAAACTGCTTGAACTCGTAGAGGGTGAGCTGGCCTGAAGGACACTCTGTCATGAACTTCTTGTACCACTGGTGGCACTCGGTGGTGCTCAGCTCCTCCACGGCTTTCCCGTCCATGTTCCCCATCTCCACACCAACTGCTGGTCCCTTTGCCGCCAAAAACTGAGGGTTTGTGAAATTTAGGGGGAAAAAAAGTAAAATCTGACAGTTCTGCCTTCAAAGCCCAGGCATCTCCTGCAGTGCAGGGTCAGGGCATCAGGAAATCCCTGGTGCTGTACAGATCCCAGCAGGGATGGACACAGGACGCTCGTCTTCCTGGCAAAACCCAAAAGCACAAAACCCTCTTTGGATGGGAAGGTGACTTTTAAGTACCCAGCAAATCCCTCCCCAGCCAATGAGGCTCGGAGGGGTGGTGGGCTCCTGCCAGGCATTAGGAGTTCAGGTTAAAATAGAAAAGAGGTAAAATGGGGAAGTCTTGCAGATTACAGGCCCAGCAGGAGATTAGGAGGGTGGAATTTTCTCTGTGATGAGCTAATCCCTTAATCCACTTCATTTATCACTTAAGAGGTGGGGGCTGGTGTCACAAGAGCAACAACTTTTGGACCAGAACCAGAGTAAGAAAAATGAGAGGAAACCACGCTGAATCCTCTGTGCTGTTTCTGCTTTTTGCTTTCCCTTCACCCCAGTGTGCCAGAGGATTCCAGAGGGGCTCTAGAGCCTGGAATCAGGGAGGGGAAGTGCCACTTCAGCTCCTGGAGAGACACGCCAGGAGGGTAAATTTGGTGTGAGCAGACAAATACAGAAACTTAATTGCTTTGAATGGTAAAGGTTTGTCTGCTTTAATTGCAGCCGGCAGGAAGGGGAAGGGCCCTCTCCCCCCAGCCCCAGGGGTCCTGTGTCCCTCTTGGTCCTGCTAATGGAGTGTTTTTCCCTCAGAACTGTCCCACACTCTGCTCACCCCAGTGCAGTTAAATGCAGCTTCAGTTCTCACTTGTGGTGGATTCCCATGCAAAATTCCCCATGTAAATACAACCAAACCCAGTGTTGTGTTCACTTTGACACACAGCATTCTGAGAAGTACTGGGGGATGAAATCAGAAAGAACCTCAGAGAGAGAGCCATGGGCCAGGTCCTGAAGTGAAAGGATGTGATCCAGGGTGTCCCACAGAGTTCACCCACAGCACACACTTTATATCCAACAGCTGCAGTTATCTAACAAGTGACAGAGACCACTACTGATTCTGCACCACAGTAAATTAGGAATAACTCCGCTAAAAAAAAGCAGCATTACACAATCATCAAACACTCATGGAAAAGGAATTAAGCTGAGGGACACTAATTGGATGTGCTAATTCTGTCCTGAGCAGGGTGAGCCCTCAGTGCAGCCCTGAGCCAGCCCAGCCTGTGCTGGGCCAGGTGAGCTGGGCTGGGTGGGCACTGTGCAGTGCCCTGTGCTGTGACACCTGTGCAGCAGGACAGGACAGGACGGGACAGGACAGGACAGGACGGGACAGGACAGGACAGGACAGGACAGGACAGGACAGGCTGGGCAGCTTTCAGAGCAAAATCCACTCTGCATATTTTCCTGGGGAGCAGCGGCAGAGCCTCCCCACCCATCCCAGCTGCTCCCACACCCACGGGACACTGGTCACTGCTCTCTCAGGGCTTTATTGCCCGCGCTGGGCTGCCCGGGCTAGGGCTTGGGGTGGTGGCAGGATCTCCACCTGCGGGTGTCCGCGCTCTGCAGCTGCAGCCGCCGCCCGTGCCCCGCGCCCTCCTGGAAGCGGAAGCCACAGAAGGCTTTCTGCGCCGTGCAGAACGGGGCCAGCGAGTTGGGCCACCCGGGCTGGTAGAACTCGAAGTGGAAGGAGCTCAGGGGACGGTCCCCAGCGTGGACAACGACCGGCACCAGGCGGGAGCCCAGGGCAGCGGCTGGGGGCGGCCGGCTCCTTGGTCTGGGGGGCGGGTGGGTGATCTCCGGCTCTGCTTTGGCCTCCTCCATCCCCTCGGCTCTCTTTGCCAGGGCCTTCTGGTGTTTTAGCCGCCTGTGGAGGAAAAGATCCTGAGAAATGCGTGGCAGTTGCCCCCTGCCCTCGCCACCCCCAGCAGGAGAGCCTGGGGACTCCTGCAAGGGAGTCAGGGCAGTGTGGGTGCTGAGAGCCAGGGCTTGCACAGCCCCAGCCAAAATCTGAGCTGGTGCTGCCTAAAGAGAAGGACTGTAAACTAAAATGGTGCTCTGGAAACAGGGAGTCAGGGCAGGAGGGCAGTGTGGGTGCTGAGAGCCAGGGCTTGCACAGCCCCAGCCAAAATCTGAGCTGGTGCTGCCTAAAGAGAAGGACTGTAAACTCAGTGCTCTGGACATATGGAAGTGACTTTAAACAAATGCTGAGAGAACAGGAATGATGACACAAAGGGCTGGATTGTCTCTTGACCCTCAGTTACAGCAGGGATAAATGCAGCAGAGCACGCTCCTGCTGAAGCTGTCGCCAGGCACAGCCATGGCAAACCTGCCTCGGGAAGGGCTGCACACAGTCTGAGCCCAGAGCACGCAGCAGTGGGGGCAGAACTGGCACTGTCCTTCGGGGCAGCAGCCCTGGGTGCCTCTGCAGGGACCCCGCAGCCCCAGGTGATGCAGGAGGAGCTGAGCCTGCCCTGCCCTGGGCATTGCTCTGTCACTTCCAGGTGGTTTCCCCAGAAATGGGAGGCATGCCTGCCCACACGGGGCACAAGGAACCTGCCCCCAGGCAGTGCCCTGCAAACAGGCAGGGTTCTGTCAGGCCAAGGAGAGTGCACAGAGATTTGGGCTCTGTGAGTGCTGGCAGGGAGAGATCAGGCACAGGGAAACACCTGCAGCAGGAAAATCTCCAGGGAGCAGAGAGAAGATCAGGCAAGGAGAGAAAACAAAACCCAGCAATGCTGTGGCAGGGAGAGTTTAGAGATGTGCACAGCATGAAAGAGCCCTGGGTGTTTGCAGGAGCCCTGTGCAGAGCAGGGGAGCGTGAGCCCCAGGACACACAGGGTGAGCTGTGAGCAGGGCTGTGCTTGGCTGCAGAGATTTCTGCTGCTGTTACCTAAGCATGACTCAGTTATCTCGTTTTCATTGACGACACCTCTGTGCAAATGGAAACTGCCTCTTCCCTCAGCAATTAGCCACCCTGCTCCTGCCTGTCCCAAAGCAATGCTTTGCTTATTTTTAACCTTGCAAAGAGGTTTCCTGCTTTCCGTGACGTGCTTGGTGCTATTTCTGTTCCCCGGCTCCTAAACCCATTAAGAAGGGGAATGCCTGCAAATTGTTCAGAAATCTCCTTAGAGCCTCCGGGGGGAATCACCAGATCCCTGCAGGTTCAGCACCTCTTTTTGTCACTCACTTCTCCGGGGCAGAAGCCCAGTGCCTGGAAGGCTGGACCTCAGCTCACAGGGGTTATTCCAGCAGTTGCTGCCACAAGGAAACCTCAGTCCATGTCCCCCGGGGGATAAAACAAGGGGATTTGGACTCCTGGAAAGCAGCTTTCACCACAGCCATTTCAGTGAGGCCTGGGCACCCCTGTTCTGGGCTGAGCTTGCTCAGAAGCTGCTGCTTTCACACCAGCTCCTGGCCACTTGGGAAGGGACGAGGACACTGGGGGATCCAGTGCCCTCCCCCCACAATTTGGGGGGTCCAGTGCCCACCTTGGGGGTCTAGCCACCCCCCCCCCACACACCTTGGGGTATCAAGTGTCCACCTTGGGGCTCCAGCCACCCCCAATTTGGGGGGCCCAGTGTCCACCTTGGGGGTCCAGCCCCCCCACACACCTTGGGGGGTCAAGTGTCCAACTTGGGGATTCAGCCCCCCCCCCCCAGTTTGGGGGGCCCAGTGTCCACCTTGGGGGTCCAGCCCCCCCAGTGTGGAGTCCAGTGCCCATTTTGAGGGTCCAGCCCCCCCTCCTTAGGAGGTCCACTGCCCAGCTGAGGAGTCCAGCCCCCCTCCCCCAGGGCGTCCAGTGCCCACCTTGGGGTCCAGCCCCAATTTTGGGGGTCCACCACCCCCCAGGAGTGGCAGCACCCAATGAGAGGGCGGTGGGGGAAGGGACAGGGGGCTGCTGCCTGTGCCCCCCCCCAGCAGCAGCACTGCAGTCACGGCCCTGGGCGGGGAGGGGAGGCTGCAGCTGCCTTGGCAGCCCGATTGCTAAGTCATGCAGGGCTGCAGCCTGAGCTCTGCCTCTGCCTCTGCTCCTGCCCCGGGGCTCCTGCCCCTCCTCTGGGGCACCTGGAGCTCTGCAGGAACCTCCTCCCTCCCCGCCTGTGGGATCCCGACGAGGACACTGGGGGATCCAGTGCCCTCCCCCCACAATTTGGGGGGTCCAGTGCCCACCTTGGGGCTCCAGCCACCCCCAATTTGGGGGGCCCAGTGTCCACCTTGGGGGTCCAGCCCCCCCACACACCTTGGGGGGTCAAGTGTCCAACTTGGGGATTCAGCCCCCCCCCCCCAGTTTGGGGGGCCCAGTGTCCACCTTGGGGGGTCCAGCCCCCCCAGTGTGGAGTCCAGTGCCCATTTTGAGGGTCCAGCCCCCCCTCCTTAGGAGGTCCACTGCCCAGCTGAGGAGTCCAGCCCCCCTCCCCCAGGGCGTCCAGTGCCCACCTTGGGGTCCAGCCCCAATTTTGGGGGTCCACCACCCCCCAGGAGTGGCAGCACCCAATGAGAGGGCGGTGGGGGAAGGGACAGGGGGCTGCTGCCTGTGCCCCCCCCCAGCAGCAGCACTGCAGTCACGGCCCTGGGCGGGGAGGGGAGGCTGCAGCTGCCTTGGCAGCCCGATTGCTAAGTCATGCAGGGCTGCAGCCTGAGCTCTGCCTCTGCCTCTGCTCCTGCCCCGGGGCTCCTGCCCCTCCTCTGGGGCACCTGGAGCTCTGCAGGAACCTCCTCCCTCCCCGCCTGTGGGATCCCTGCCTGCGAGGGGAAGCAGGCTTAAGGTGCTGTTTATGGCTCCGTGCCCGAATGAAGAGTCCCACTAATCCTACTGCCCCCGTTCCTGCGCCCAGAGATCCCTAATCCCTCCCAAACCGCCTGGTGCCCTCGCAGCAAATCCCCCAGGCGGGTCCCAGGGAAAGGCTGGCTCAGGAATCGGGGAGGCAGGAAGGTTTCAGAGGTGC